TGTGTGGTCTGACTGAATATAAATCAACCACAGTGAAGTCAGCCTGGGTACCCTTCTCAATGTAGATCTAGACATTTTCTGTCCCAGCAGTTTGATGAAAAAAAAAATATTTAAAAATCCTAAATTATGCAAACTTAGCCCAAACAAAAATGTGAAATTATGCGATTCTGTTAATTTTAACAAAGAATGATAAAGGAAAATAATCAGAAATGCTGCGAAAAAATATCATATTTTGCTAAATTATGCGGGGTGCATAAAACCACGGGGATAGCCTTTTGCAATTTTAGGTCACAATCTGGGTTAACTGAATATTTTTAGCCCAGCGCTAAAAGAGGGTAAATACGCCCCTTTGGGAATGGACTAAAGACACTTCACCTAATGGTTAGGATACTGGACCCGTAATCGTGATATTGCGATACTGCGACCCTAACCCTAACCCTAACCCTAACCCTAACCCTAACCCTAACCCTAACCCTAAGCTCGGTCCGACGTTGTGTCCTTGGGAAAGGCACTAAACACGAATTTCCCACTTGGCTCGTTCCTATCGAGACGGACGTTAAACTAGGAGGCCCCGCCTCTTAAATACAATGTAACATAATAGTGTTGATAGGTGCGTTAAACCCATTAATACCATTTTTTTCTCCATTTCGCCATTTTCAAGGACACTTCAGTCAGTAGCACTGCCTTTGGGACGGGGGGGGGGGGGGGGGGGGCATAACGATGAGCAGCTTTACCACGAGAAATAGAAAACTTGACAACACACACATTAGGCTAGTCCCTTTATTTTAGTTTATTGCATGAACATGTCAGAACAAGTGCATTCGTTATACACATAATATAACTAGCTATAATGCTTGAAAAAGTGAGCTTACAAAACGTACTAAATCCATAAAATCACAACTCTTAATCTATAAGAAAATCTAAAACTCACAAAGAAGTAAATTCACAATACTTCATTTAAAAGGGTAACTATATAGGAAAGAGAGTAGTAACTTTAAAACGCATAATACGTAAATCATTGTTTAGATGTATAAATATATAATATATTACTTTGCAATACATGTTATAAATAAGAACATACGTTCTACATAATCAAGTGACTTCAGAATACAATAAATAATAAATATGTCAGTGGGTGGTTGGATGGTGCTCTGGTGTGGTTTGCTCCTTCTTTCCTATCAATCAAACATCTGTCGTCCTTATCTCTCCTCCTTCTTTCCTATCAAACAAACGTCTGTCGTCCTTATCTCTCCTTCCTTTTTGTGTGTATGTTACTCTCTTGTAACACCTCTATTCTTCGGCACTTATATGACCTTATTGTGTTGCAAGTGCCGTAAGACTCTTACTAAATCTAAATCTAAATATGTCAACATTAAAAGGCACCCAAATTAAACTTGCAGTCTTGGAAAGACAGGGGGTTTCATGTGGACACTTAAAAAACAAATAAACAAACACACACATACACACATAAACACACGCACACTCACACAAACACACATTTGCACATACACACACACACACTTACACACACACATACATTCCCATACAGATATACTTTTATTCATTCAGAGAGAGAGAGAGGGGGAG